TTTCCTGTGGAGTGGTGCTCTGCACCACAGGCTTGGGGCTCCAGAGGCCTGGGGGCTGCAGAGGAGGCGAGGGGAGAGTACAGGTCTCCACGTCAGCTGAGCCGGCCTGGTGCAGGCACTCCCGTCGCACCCTTCCGAGAAGTGCGGTGGCATCCCCCGGCGGCAGGCAGCCCAGGGCCTGCGTCACGGCAATGCCTAACTGCTGTACTCGCTCCACTTCACTCGAGTGTGGTGTTGTTCTGGACATGTTGTGCGTCACTGCTGTTGACGACGTCTGCAGCACCACACTCAGATTCCACAGCGAAACATAAAGCTGCCGTGGGTGCCGAGAGGCACCAGAGCAGAGGCCTCGTGTGCCTTGCTTTGCGTCAGGGGAAGACAGAGGCAGCGATATTTTCTTGAAAAGTGACAAGTTCTTTCTGGGTCTAATAAAGAGAGATAGCTTCTAGTAGATGTTTTGTTACTTAGATTCCCTTGGAAAAACACAGACATTTGATATCTGAATCAGAAAAACGATTCAGATGAGTAGGGCTCTGAATGTGAAGAAGTTTTATAGGAATAGAGTGATAGTTTATTCTGTTATATTTTCCCTTTCATATATGCCCAAGAGTGATTTTTTCTTAAATTTGTCACCCTGAGTGCTAAGAAAGTAATGAATCATAGCGTGGCTTTCGCATTCTTGCTGAAACATAAAATCAGAGGTGAAGTGTCCTTTGAAGAAAGTAACAGCAAGTGTGCTGAGCTCGGGAAGTAGCCAGGAGCCCAGGTATAGAGATGTCCCAGCTGCCTCACCAGTCTCTCAGTCTTCACCAGGGGTGTTGACCATCCTTACCACAGTTTGCTATATGTCCTTCAGAACCAGGGCAGGAACAGGAAACCAGTTTTCAGCCCTCAGAGCACAGACCCAGTAGAGCCAGGCATGCCAGGAGCTCACAAAGAAGCCCATTGATCTGCCGATCATCACTTCCTGAACCCACCCCTGGCTGGTCCCCTGCCAGGCTCTTCACCAGTCTCTCTCATCCTTGCCGCAATCCTGGTTTCCACTGCCCAGATAATGCCATTTAAAGAAAAACTCTACTGAGAGTCAGCAAAAGACATTAAAAGATATAACCTGCCCTTGGACTTAATAGCTTATAGTAAAATGTTGGTAGCATTTGAATATTTATAATGTTCAGTCAATTATGGCTCCTCCATACTTGGTGGACTATTACACAGCCTTTAAAATAATGATCACTAAGATTGCAATGCAGTATGGGAAGCGTTAATGCAACCAACAAGGAAGCAATAAGACACACACACTCCATGGAATTGTGAACATAGGCCAGTATGGAAGGAGAATAACGTAATGATAAAGGTAGTTGAGTTAAGATGATGTGATCACAGGAGTTTCCACCACCACCAGATGTCCTCTTTATAATGAAAAGACAGTGAGAAAGAGAGAGAGCTTTCTAGAGAAACCAAGTCAGTAGCTCAATAACTACTGAGGTATTTTGAGTCTAGCAATTGCCTTCAAAAGGCACCTAGAATTATCAGTTTACATATTCGCTCCATTACCAGGTTAACGGGACTCCCCATTTGTTTTTTGCCCCTTCTCCCCACTTGGAATTTGTAATTAGTATACTCGCAGAATAGAAGTGCAGTATTTGAGGGAGTATTTGAATAAAAGGGGAGCATTTGAGGCTTTATAAGCAAATGATGACAGTGTAAAAGGTGTTTGTTCAAATTTGCATTTATACAAAACATGGAGCTGCTGTGATTTCAGAATAAATGTGTTTTAAATATTTTCTAAATACAGAACGGTTGCAGCCCTAACAATGCTTGGCTAGGAAACTACACTTCTATGATGGGCCATAATGACTCTTTGGAAGATTATTGGGCTGAACAAAAAAGCACCTACTTAGGGCACCTGGAGTGCAGCTCACTTCGGCCCTTCCTGCTGTGTGGTCACTTCAGTGAGACCCCTTTTCCTCTCTTCCACGGCATCACCAATTTTATTGCAGAACATTAAAACCTACTTATTTAAAATTCCAGAAAATAGTTCTTTTTCAAATAAGAGCTCATGTCAAATTATACAGTCTCTTGCTATAGGTCTTTATTTTCACCTTTTTCTCATAGTTGTTTAAATGTCCTTTTCTGTACATTAATTCATTTGTTGGGATTTCAGTTTTGAAATTCTAATTAGAACTCAGGGTCATCGGTCAATTGCAGGATTGAATGTAGGAACTGGAAAAGTTGATAAGCTCTCAGTGAAATATTATGGATTTGAGTTTCTTTCTTCCTTCTGTGTTAGGTTGTGCTTCTGGCCACATTATTAAGTGGCCATTTTTCTGGAATTCTGCACTCTTCCTGCTTCCTTTCATTACATTAGGCAAGGTTCCACTGGATGAGACATTTGCCGTCTTAAGACTTCCTGCCAGGGTTCAGACTTTGTATTTTTGACATTGAGGCTGTCGTGTTCCTGAAGCTACTTAATTAGAAACACATTCACTTCGGTGTGTGCTGGAGGAGCCAGGGCAGCAGAGCCAGGCACACTGGGAAGCTGAGCGTATGTAGCTGCCAGCTAAACCAGCGGTTTACAGTTTAAGGAGAAAAAATATTGTAGGGCATTTTCTTGCCCCTAGAAGCGAAGAGAAGCTGACTGTGCACAGCAGATACCTTTTCTTAAAAAGAGAGAAGAGGAGGAAGAAAGAAAAGAAAAGACAACTCCACTTTCACTGCAGTTGTGTGTTTAATTCTTTCTTTGGCTATTATGAAATACAAAAGTCTTCGAGAAGAATGGTTTCCAAAAGGTGCTGCTAATATTCAAGTCTGTTTCACACGCTCCCGAGATATATTGCTGCTGAGTTCTATAGTAAGGAGGACATTTTATTTTCTGGGGAAGGGTTTTTGCTTGAAGCATTTTATTTGTTGAATGCTAATGAGGGAATTGTGTCCTTTCTTATTTTGAAATGTTTGAGCAATTTTTAAATGTACATCTGATGTCTTAAAACTTTCATTGCCGAAACTCTTTAGTAGTCCATTGGAAGCAAACCTTTCCTTCCACATTGCTTCCCCAAGGAAGCCACCCTTACAGGTCCCTTTCTGCTACCCCAGCTGCCCCAAAGGAAAGGTGCCCTCTCACCCTAGCTTGAGCTGGTGCCTCTCCGCCAGTCTCATAGAATACCTTCAGACCTTCGACAGGCTAGATCACAAATACATTTCATCCTCGGCCTCCCCACCCCCCGGTTGCCACACTGTGTAGTTGCTGGGTCTGGGGAGTTTAGGTTAGGGAGTTTAGGTGTTAAGCCAGCGTGGTAAAGGATTTCTTCTGGCAGTCAGATCCTAGGTTGGCTGCTGTGTTTTACGGCTTCAGCTATGTGATGTAACCGCTCCTAGTTTTCTTGCTTTAAAGTGGGAAGCGCCTACCTTGGAAGGCGGTGCTTGATTAGGGAAGGTGAGCATGAAGTTCTTCAAGAAGATGCACTCAAGATACACTGTGGAATAATGCTCAGCTATTAAAATTAAAAAGGAAATCCTGCCATTTGGGACAGCATGGATGGAACCGGATGGCATGATGCTAAGAGAACTAAGTCAGGAGGAGACAGATTCAGGATAATTTCACTCATACATGGAACATAGAGAAACAAAAGGAGCAAAACTAAACCTAGACAAACGCTCGAAATCTGACTGCCCGCAGAGACTGTAGGAAGGACTGGGAGGGCTGTGGGCGGGGGGGAGGGGGGTCGGTGTGAGGAGGGACCCAGTGGACTGTGGCGGGGGAGGGGGAGGTTAAAGGGGGTTAAAGGTGCTTCACTGGTAGATATGGTGTGGTAACACCTATAGGTGAGAACCTGTATGCCTCAATCATATACAGTGTTGCAAATCATGTTAGCCTCAATAAATAATGTGATTAGCAACAAAATCACTAGTTAGTATTACAGCTGGTAAGTAGCATTCTTAAGATTAAAATCCAGTTTTCTCTAATTTGAAAACTCATCTTTGTTTTCACTATCCCATGTCAAAAATATGCCTGGGTACATAAACTTTACTAAAAGAAATGTTGGAGATCCCCCCTCCAATTTTATTTTATTAGCTAAAATCATGTAAATTTTAATTAAATTTTCAGTTAAAGCAAAAGCTCTTGTTGAGCTGGAATGATATTTCATTCATATTGATACTCCTCTAGGCAAAAGGTAGAATCTCAATAAATATTTTCTAATTCTAATGTATGCACAGTTACATTTTTGGGGGGGAAAAAAAGTCTCGGCTGCAATGCCCTGCTCCTCCCTTGTGGCTGGTGAGTAGTCTCGGGGTGACACTGCTGACCCACTGGCATGCAGAACCCTGAAGCAAGCAGGTCAAGCCCAGGTTTGGAACCCTCTGGAGTCAGGCTCTCTGAGTCACTCCCTCAGGGAACCCATAGCCCTGAGAGGGGAGCAATGAGAAAGGCTTCAGGAATTGTCCTGCCATCAGATTACCCTGGGCAAGGGGCTGACTGGCTTGCTGGCCACTGCCTGGGGACAAAATGGACAGACTGGCCCCAACTCTTGGTGGCAGAAGGCAACTAAAAAGATCACGTTTAGAAACCCACGCTCTCCATTCAGCCTTGTTTACGGCTGTTCCCGTTGTAATCATGGCACAATAATTCCCACTTGTCCAGAGCTAATCACTGAATGTCTATGTTCTCACATTTGATAGCAAGCAGGATTCCTCCCATTTTAAAGATAAGGCCACTGAGGCTGTGCACTGGCAGAGCTTCCACTTAGGGCCCCATGCCAAGGTGGGGTGCCTCCCGCCTGGCACCAGGCAAGCTGTTTTCCGGTGCTGCCTGCCTTTTGAAATTCTTAGGAAGTTTCTAGGCTTGGGAACAAAATGTCATATTAGGATTTTTGTTGTGAAAGGAAATGTAACTGTGCATACGTTTATTAAAACAGTTTTTCTCCAAATAGTGAACCATCTGTAATTTTCTGTCGGAAGCAACAGACATTAAAGCAGCTGTGTGTCTCTGTTTCTCTTCACAGTGCTCCCATGCCCTACCTCATAGGAATCCATTTAAGTTTAATGGAGGTAAGTTGGCGCCTTTCCTTCCCAGATCCCTTTTGCGCGGGTTTGCCTCTCTCTGCGGCGGCGGCCACGTGGTGCGGTCCGCGTGGGATCCGTGGACGCACAGGCCACAGCCAGCACTCGGCCTTGGTGGCCAAGGTTTCTCCCATTGCTGGGAGAGCAGCTTTGTTTTCCTGGACTGCTGAGGGTCAGGGGGCAGGCAGCGAGGGCTCAAAAAGAGGGTGAGGAACTCACCCTCTGCTCCAAAAGGTGTTTTCTTGAAGACGTAATGATAGTACATTTTTCATTGTAGAAATTGTACTAAAAGTCTGTAGAAGTATGCGGAGGTAAATGAAAATAACCTGTAAACCATTATTTCAGATTCTACCACTGTTAGCATTTTATTATTCTTCCTCCTCCCCTTTATTCTATGAATACCTATATTGTATGAGTGCACATAACTGTTGTGTTATGTGTGCATGTCATTATGTGTCTTTATTTCACTTATGTTTTCAGGGGGATTGTTCCACGTTTTTATCCACTCTAGGCAATAATAATTTTTAATTTGTTCCCAGTCCACATTGGTTTGGATCTACCGCAGCATAACCAACCACTTTCTATTGTTGGACACTTAGTTGTTTATAATTTTTCACCATTATAAATAGCATTTCAGTGCACATCTTTTTGCAGAAGTCTTTATCTGCAGTTTTACTTATTTCCTTAGCATAGAACCCTAAAGAGAAATGCTTGGTCAAAGCTATGAATTGGATGCCAGATTGCTTCGGCTGGCCTGGCTGTCCCAATTAGATAGCACTTCTTTTCAAGGACGTTTCTGTGCTTTTGTGAGTGCCATTGGTTTGTAGACACGAACCCTAAGCTTTTCCCTCCCCAGGAGAGAGCTGAAATTTGTACTAAAGAAAGGGGGGAGGCAGGAGGTGGAGTGCTTGCCTGTTTTGCACGGGAGATAAGCTCTCAGAGGGAAAATCTAAAGCCACGTCCGTCTGTGATGATGCTTTGCATGTCTCAAAGGAAGTGCTACTTCTCCTCTTCTGTTCCCTTCATTTCACGTCGACGAGGACCACCTGCTTCTTCACTAACTGTTGCACACTGTGCTATTGTGCTGACGAAAATGAAACAAGTTGGTTATCGAAAAACCTGTTTGTTTGACATTGAGAATCTTGATCAAAATAGACCACAGAAATCTGCTCAAATTTCTAATTTGACAGGACGGCCATGTGGCTCCTGCATTCTGTTAACAGTTCCTCCTTGTCATCACCCGGCCCTGAGCACATGCAGCACACAGTTTATGGTCTATCTTGGAGGGTGTATTTAGATCGCATTGAAGAGACTGCTCTGTGTTTTACCTTGTTTGTCAAGTCTGGGAGTGTATTCAAAGCTCTACTATGAAAAATTAAAAGCGCATGCTTTCTAATAGACCAATTTCATGCCAGTTTGAAACACGGAGGACCATTTGGTCTCTCTGAGGCCACCGTTCTTTCTGCCTCGCCTGCTGCCTTCCAGAATGCTCCAGCAGAGACTTTTACAGACTCCTTTTTATGTCCCTTTACCTTCAGCATTGTCCAAATTTCTAGTCTTGGCTGGCTTTTCTTCTCTCCAGCCCCTCTAGTCATCTTGTTTGAGGCTTTTTGCTTTAGCTCCCAAGGAAAGGTTAGAATCAGCTGTGATTCTCACGCTGGCCTGCCTTTCTGAACTTCCAGCCCAGAGTTTAAGTGCCAGTTGAACTTCACCTTGAGGTAGTACAGATATCTCAAAGGCAGTTTTCCCCAGTCTCTGTCTCTCTCTCACACACACTCACACTCACACCTGTCATCTTCCAGTGTCCCTGGCCCTATGAATGGCACCTGGAGAGGCACCAAAGTGGGACATGCTGAGCTTGGCCACTGCTTGTCTTCCTCCCCAAAGCGTCACCACATACGTGGGCTGTCTCTTGCCCTGTTCTTCTTCACTCCCTTTTTTGACATTTGTCTTAGCTTTCTTGGGTTCTTCCATAGCCTAATTCATTTATGTGATGAGCAAAAGTCTCTTGTGTTAAAAAAAATTTGCCTTAAAAAAAAAAAATTTGCCTGTTCCTGGATGTTTTGGAGATGGTGAGTGTGAAGGCAAATACAGAATCCAGTCAATTCCCCCACATTTAGTGGGCAGCTCACTCACCACTCTGAGTCTGCTCAGTCTCCTCTGCTTTAGTCTTCTGACCTCTCCCGCTCCCTTTTTAGCCACTCTCGCAGACCCCAAACATGCCCACCTTCCTGCACCTCTGTCTGCAAGCCCTGCCCTTCTTCCTCTCTTCTGAGAAGTCTTCCTTTTCTCCCTCCTGTTCCTTTTGCTCCGGACCAAAACTCTTGCTTCCCTGCCCCTCTCCGTCATCCCTTCGAGCGTGAATTCTTGGGGAGCAAGGACTGGGCTGCATTCACGGTGGTGTCCCTACTGCCAAGCAGATGTCTGGGAAGGAGGGAGGCGTGCCAGCGAAGCTGGGTGAAGGGTACATTTAGTGCCTCTCCAGTAGGCATTGCTGTTTTCAGGGATCCCAGGACCCCAGTTTGACTTGAAGATGGGGCAGTATGTTCTTTATTTTTAACCTGATTGTGATTTAAAACAAGGCCTTTTATAATAAAACACAATGCAGAATTCCACATATTCTGAAGCTATAACTTGAGACAGCAGTGCCCTGGAGTGGGTGGGTACAGGTCACTCTATCAGCCTTCAAAGGGCTCAGTGAGAACATTCAGGAAACAGTGGCCATGATCAATCAAAGTCTTGTTGATTGAAGTTGAAGAGAGGTCTGCCATTCTACTCCTGTGTGGCTAGCATTAAAAGAAAAACAAAAATAAGAGTTGGCCCCACTCTTGAAGCCTCTAGGCCACTTTCCGAACAAAGTCGCATCTCCTGGGCCTGGTGGGCTCCCCTCAGGTGCCGCCTACAGGCCTCCCTTGATGTCAGCGCCAACTCCTGTGCTATAGTCATGCTTTTGGATTGGTTTTATCTGGTTCTGTTCTACCTTTCTGGTAAGAGATGCTCTTCCCCTGAGATGTCTTCCAGGAATGGCAGCTATAATACTTGGGGAGGAGCTGGTGCCGGGGGCCACCGAAAGCTCTTTAAGGAAGGAGCTTGGGGAGGCCCGTCGCCTCTCACACACTAGTTTTCTTACTGGCAATTCAGCAAAAGGCTTATTTTTGACTGTCTTGTTATTTTTTTCTTGAAAGCTATAGGCACCTTATTATGCCTTTGCATATGTGCCAGAATTTTTTAAACTTCAAATGAATGTGGCAGATGTTCATAAAAGTTTAGAAAAAGCTACCATAGGAAGACTTTTTAACCATTTTTATGACACTCAAGTTGTTGTACAAAAAAGAAACACAAATTATAACCTAGTCTTCTCGTTTGAAAAAAAGACGACTGGGGGAAGGACCTGTTTCTGGTTCTCCTGCTCTCTGGGGCTCTGGCTGTTGGGAAGGGTGCCCTGCCCTCCTTAGACACCCTGCCGCCTGCTCCGTGTCCATCATCACCTTTATCCCGCCCACTGCCTTCTGACAAAGTCCTTACTCTCATTGAAGCAAACATTAATTTAGGCAAGTTAGCAGGACAGCCAGGACACTGTAGTACATCTAGCTTCTTCTTGGAGAGAATGATCGTGTTAGCTGGCAACTAGGAAATCCCTAAACCTGGCCAGATTACTCAGTCGCCATCTCCTTTCATTCTCTTGACCTGGTTTAGTTCAGATGATTCTCAGGTCCCTCTTCTGTGCTACATCTGGTGGCAGCTGCCAGGCCATTCCTGTAGATGGTGCTTCTCCTGTTTGATAATTGAAGACCTTTTTTCCAACTCTCACAAATGATGCTTTGTGTGCAGGCCTCTGAGGGACATGGATAATGGGGCCAAAGGTATTTGTTAGCTTTCCTGGTGGGGAGTGGTCTGGAATTAGGGAAGGAAGGCCACAGTGAAGACAGCTCCAGACTTAGGTTCAGGTGAGCCCGATCCACAGCTCTGTCTGTGCACAGAACCAGGGAGGGGTGGCGCACCTGCTTCCTGGCCATGTGACCTTGAAGAACGTATTTGAATGCTGAGCCTCGGTGTCTCACCTGTAAAAGTGAGGACAATGGCTGTGCCTCTGCTGTGCAGAAATTCTATAAACAGTTGTTGGGGAGCCAACGAAATGATGCCCATCAGGTGTCTGGTAGAGAGTACCTGGCTCTTAGAGTACTCGGCAAGCTGGGTTTTATTTCCCTGATGGTTTTACAACTATTTACACTTTCAAGTTGGTGGCTTTGAAATTGTGTTTCTGGGACTCCTGCCTCCAAGGGCCATCCTCCTTCTCCCCTCAGGAAAGGGTTTTAACAGAATTGGTTTGTGCCCGCCATTTCCTCCTGGTTTGTGGGCCACCCCTGTGTCAGGGGTGGGAGTGGCACTGACTTAGAATGTCATGAGTGGGCCTCCAGTGCCTGCTCAACCCCCTCCCTAGCGTCATGACGTCAGAGGGGATAGTTACGCCCCTCTGCAGCTTTCTCTTTTCATCTGTAAGAGTGGTTAGTCCTGTCTCTGAGGGTCGTGCTGAAACAGAAGCCTTTTAGGATCAGCATCTCCCAGCTGCATGCATCCCACTGGGAGGCCCCACCTTCACAGAGCTCTGTCCGGGGCCAATGCAGGCCAGGAGAGTGTGGCAGTGCAGCCAGGATGCCAAAGGGGAACACCAACCGGCCTTGAGGGCTACCCCCCAGAGGAAGGGCACACCAAAGCTGAACCTAAGCCTGACAGATAAATAAAAGTCAAACCAGGACATCAGGAGAAACATCCACAAAGACTTGCAGTATAGACTATGGAATTTTCCAGAAAGGATGGGGAGTCAGTTCCATGTCTGATAGGAGTATAGAGCTGGAGGGAGAGAGGAGAGCTGAAGGAGGCAGACCAGGACCAGACCATCCAGGGCCTTGTAAGCTGTGTTACAGAGTTCGAACTTTATAGGGCAATGGAGAGCCATTGAAGGGTGTAAATAGGGGAGGGACATTGTC